GACAGTCGCACCCCGCGGGCTTGGAAGAAGGCGCGCGCGCCCATGGCGCTAGCGGCGAAGACGCCGTAGGGACGGAGACGCAACCCCTCCCCAAGCCTCTGAAGAAGCCCCCTACGGATAACGCGGGCGAGGATGGTGGGCATGACGACGGCGGCTCTGTCATTCCTCCTTTTGTTGCCCAGGTGTCCCAAGTGCCTCCCTCGGAGCTCTCCGATTCAAGGTCGGAGGAGGGGCGAAGAAATGCCCGGTCGAAGGCCAGCGACAATCATCCCGTGATGCAGCCAGTTCTTCGCCCCCCCGATCGGCGCGCGGGAGGTTTGCCGGGGCGGGGCGGAAGTGCGCCAGATGCGCAAGTTGGCACGGAAACCAGAACCACACATTTATTCGCTAGCGCATTCGGGCCCACGGCTTGCGAGCAGGACAGATGCGTTCCATAACCATTCGCTAAAAATGGCCCCGTGGCGTCTGGGCCACGGAGGGATGAAAGGGCGGGCGCCCACGACGTGCCCGCCAAGCTGGGGCCCGTCTCGAATGCCATGCCGATCGACCTCATGGGCGCGCCCACTCAGCGCCACTCCTGAGTCGGCGGTCTTGCCGACCAGGCCCGCCGCGCGGCCGCCTGCTTGCGCCCCCGTCGGCGCTCGGGTCACGGGGCAGGGGTCGAGCGGCACTGGAAGCGCCCGGCCTCCGCTTGGAGCGAGGGCCGACGTGAACTCCGAGGCTCATCGCGCGGAGGTCGACGAGGTCCACGACAGTTTGTGCAGTCTCCTTGGTCGAGGCGATGCCAGCGCGGAAAGTCAAGAGCAAGGTGGCAAACGGCGCCCAGCTAGCACGGCCCATGGCGAAGCCAGCGGGGTGGTGGCCGTGAGCCGAACCCACGGTGAAGCTCGCGGCGCCATTCAGGCGGCGGTAGCCCAGCAGTTGTTCGGAACAGATTTGAGGGCTTCTTTCTATCTGAGGCTGCACGCCGCGAGCTGGCCTCAGGAGCTACCGCTGCTGGTTCGTTGACTGGTGCTTCTGGGTCCACCCCTGGAGCCACTGACAGCCCGCGGCAAAACAACAAACCGAAGACGGCCCAAACAGCCCGCGGCGAGTCTGACCGCGAAGACGGCGCAGCCCATGGCGAGTCTGACCGCAAGGACTAGGAGGAGTCGGCTTGCAGGGGGGGGCGGGCGCGGGGGGGGCGCCAACGACCGCGCCGATTCCATCGCGGCCCGCTGCCCCTTCCCGGGGCTCTCAGGAATCCTCCGGGCCCAGTCGGCTTCGCAGTCGGCGCCGGCGTCGCGTCGCCCGCGAGCGCCAGCCGGCGGGCGGGCCGACCTTGTTGCGCATGTTTGGCGCGAGAGGCCCGCGCGGGCCTCGCGCTGTGCCCGCGCCCCAGGGCGACGGCCCAGGCCCTTGTAGCCCCCCGCGCTGAAGCGATGGCCTCGCGCGCGGCACAGGAGCGGGCGCCGCCGACCGTTCGGTTCGGTTCCGCGCACTTCTCGTGCGAGAACGCAAAGCCCCCCATGCTGCTCGCGCGCTTTGCGCGCTGAGCAGCATGGGGGTCGACGGCCGCGCGTTCAATGGGGAACCGCAACGCAAGTTTCCATTCCCGCGCGCGGGGCGGGGCATGAACTTACAGATGCGCCGGCGGTCGAGAACTCGCGCGCGCGCCCGCGCCTGCCATGTTGGGCGTGCGCACTGGGGCCGGAAATCTGCGGCTCGGCCGCCCGATGCGCACCAAAAATCGCCCGCCCTCCCCCCCCCCCCCCCCCCCCCCACAACTCTTCCGCGCTCGTGGAAAAACCATGCCGCCGAGGCGGGAGCTCGGGCCGCGGCCTGATGGCCCCCGAGGCACAGGGGAATCAAAGGAATCAGTACGGAATCAGTACAGAATCAAGACAGAATCGGCACAACTGCGACCCCTGATTCTAGCGGAACCAAAAGAATCAGCACGGAATCAATACGGAATCAAAGGAGGAATCGGCGATGGAACCAGAATCGGCCAGAACGGGGAAGTAGGCCAGAATCGGTGCCAGAACCCATGGAGAGAGGCCTTTTTCCCGCGAGTTCATTGCGGCGGGTCCGCGGCGCGGGCACGCCGCGCGACTTCGCTGGTTCAGCGAGGCGCGCAGTCGGCGTTCAGAGTGAACTGGTTGTTTTCAGGGCGATATCCTGGCGGCGCGCCGGCGCATTGCGCATTTGCGTATTCCTGGCGGGCCGTTTGAGGGCGACCCGGCAGCGTCGGCCGAATGGCCCGCAAATGCCGCGCGGCCGATCGCGCGCCCCATGCGGTCGCGTCGACCGCCGTGCGCCGCGACGGCCGCGCGCCCCGGACCGCGCCATTCCCGCGTTGGATTGGACGGCGCAGCGCCCGTCCTCCAAAAGTCGTTACATGCATATCGCGCGCGTCGAGCCAGCAGCAATCGCTCCCAGAAGCAGCCTTTACAGGCGCCCCATGCCCTCTGTCGCCGGGTTCCGATCCAAATCATAGTTTCTTAGGATGCGCTTGCGCGAATGCGAGCGCGCGGGCAAGCATCGCGTGCGCGCTTGGCGCAGCCTGGGAAATCTTGCATGGAGCCCCTCGGGGGCGCGGGGCGCCGGCGACGCTTCCGCCCGCCTCCCGCGCGCCCGACCCCCCCCGCAAGCCGACTCCTCCTAGCAAGGACGGCGCGTGCCGGGTACTCCGCGAAGTCACGGGGGTCCAAGTCAGCGGTAATCTGAAGACAAAAGTGCCATGTAAGCGACGCCGTGGCCGCCCTCGTCTCCACCAAATCTTTGTCGGCCTGCGCGGTGCCGTGCGCGAGGTCGATTTCATAGTCGGGACGTGCAGCCACGAGGAGGTCTACGGGGCGCCCGTTGCCTGGGGCCCGCTGGGGGGAGGTGTCGACATGACCTTCCATCCGGACGACGAGTGGCAACATTTCACACGTGTCTGACTTGGTGTTGTTCCCCTCATGCTCGTTGCCTGGGTGAGTGACTTGTCTGGGTTGTGGGTCGCACGAAGGAGGCCGTCCACGCCCTCCCCGTCACCGGCTTCGCCTGCGGCTCCGCGTTGCTCTCCTATCTCATGCTGGACGAGATGTTTCTTGACTCGTCCTTCCTTCACACCTTCTTCCACCTTGCCCTCTCCGCCATCGTGGCGCGAGGGCGCCTCGGCGCTGCCCGTCGGGCGCGCGCCGGCGCGGCCGCCGGGAGACGCTCGAGAGGCGCTGCGCTCCTCCTCCTCCTCCTCCTCCTCTTCCTCCTCCTCCTCCTCCTCCTCATCATCATCATCATCGCGGCGCGGGGTCGCAGGGCGGGTCGCGGGGCGGGCAGCGGGGCGGAGTCGCCAAGACCCCGCGCGGTGGAGACCCGCTTCTGCCGCGCACCCAAGGACAGTGCGATGCCGTTCGGCCCCGTCGCTCCAATTAAAGCAACGCAGAGGTTGATTCGACCATGTACTTATGGTATGTGCACGCGTGCGCTCGTATATACAAATCGTTTGGAGTGTTCGCGCACGCGTGCACATGTTCGTGGCGGTCATTAAATGTGTGCGTTGCGCATTACCCGCAAGTTCTTAATCACACGATCAAGGAATTTGGCTGTTCTATAATATGTATCCCTTGTTTCAGGGTGGAAAAAGTGTTCGGAACAAAATCGCACGGAGGCATTTCAGACATGCGCCAGAAACGCCAGTTTTATTGGAGGGCAGCTATACACCTATAGCCATGATAGGATAGTTCAGTTGGGAAGAGGCCCCCGAGAAGCCCCGCAGCAGACGGACTCGGGCCGGAGCGGGCCCCCAGTGCCCGGTTCGAGGTCTTCGAGGCGTCTTGTGTTGGGCATCGAGTTTGGGCCCGAACGTTTCGATCTCGACCCGGAGGTCCGAGGCTCCAGCGAAAATTAGGGCGGCGGATGCTGAGCCGCTTCCGTCCTTCAGGGGCCTTCGCCGGGCCCTTGGGACCCTCAGAAAACATGTCTCGGGACGACACAAACGGCCACGTGTCCAGACTGCCGGAGGCCCACGCATCGAAAACATTGGAGCGGCGTTGGATGCTTGGGAACTCGATCCCAACTACCACAGCATGTGGTCCCTCGGACCCCAACCCCAAAAACTGAGGTTTTCGAGGCCCTGGGCGTCGAAAGTTGCCCCACGGATCTGTCCAGGGGCGGTGCCTTCTGGCCAGAATCCCGAGGCGGATCCACTTGCGGTGCCGCGACCAGGACGCTCCTGGACGCGCAGGGAGATTCGAAAGCGCAGACGAACATTGGGAAATGTCGACGATTGAAGAGAGCAGGGGGAGGAACACGAACATCTAGTGGGCGTCACCTCGAGCACGCTAGAGTAAGAGTTGTTCTTCGTCGGAGCGGCCATTGGCGCGTTATTTTCGACGGGGGCAGAGGGGGGGAGAGGGGGCAAACCCAAGCTCGCATGCAGCTAATTTCTACCCCTTCGCATGCATCGAGCGGCAAGCCGTGCACCTAAGGCTTATCTTGCTTGGGGCCACTTCCCGCGGGGAAACATAAGGCTCGAGTTCGCCAGAAGTCAAGTTTACCGAGGCTATTTGACGAGCCCGTTTTGGATTTTGACGGTCCAGTTCTCGTGGGATTGCACACGGATTTCGTCCTAGATCTCAGAGTGGGCCTCGTTATTTTCTTGGCGACTTCGTCAGACCACTTCTGGCCCCCCGAACCCCAGCCTCACAGCTGGGCGGATGGGGATAGAACAAAAAAAAAAAAAAAAAAAATGTGGCTGGTTGGGCCGTTGCCTCGGCCACGCGCACGGAGGGGGGGGGGGGAAGGCTTCGCAGAAGTGCCCGTGCCTCTTGCGCGAGCCTTGTCTGTAGATGCAGGGCCGGCGCCTGCTACGAAGCGGCCCTCCTTCTGAGGAGCCCCCCCCCCCCCTCCCTCCCCCTCCCTCCCCCTCCCTCCCTCCCTCCTTCCTTCTCCCTCCCTCCTTCTGAGGAGCCCGCCCCCCTCCCCCCCCTCCCTCCCCCTCCCCCCCCGCCTGTGCCCGCCGCCAGCCGCCGCCGCAGGTCAACAACCTCCGGGAGATCCAGGCCCCGGAGCCGCGCCGCGCCGCGCTCCCGAGGGGCCTTGTGTGCCGCCGGCCGAGGCTCGGCCGCAGGCCGCTCTGGGCGGCGCGCTCGGGGCGTCGTTGGGGCCCGACGCCGCGGGAAGGACACACAATAAATACACACAGTAAAAAGGATTCCCCATATTTTCTTATATTTCCTGGGTTTTTGTCGTCCCCCCCACTTCCCATATTTTCCCATATTTTCCTGGGAGTGGACGATTAATTGTGTCTGTGTTGAGGGTGCTACGGTCGGGGCGAGGCATGTAAGATCGAGGTCGGTTCGGGGAGGGTACCCTGGTCTTCTCCGTGTGTCTGTTGGGCACTGTTGTGCATGCCGCGGAGGGTGCCCTTCTGGATGTTCTGTCAGAATTTGGCCGACGGAGGGTCTCGGGCTCTTGAGGGATGGTCTTCTGGCATAGGTCCGACCGTACGCATGATGATGTTTGGTGATTATGTCGTTGATGATATTGATAATCTTGATGATGATGATGATGATGATGATGATGATGATGATGACGGTGATGATGATGATGATGAGTATGATGATGATTATGATGGTGATGATTATGATGATATTGTTGTTGGTGATGATGGCGAGGATTATGTCCATGATGGTTATGATGATGTTTTTGAGGTTGGTGATGTTTGGGCGTCGCTGGGATCTGACGTCGCGAATAGTACGGTGATTAGGTTCACGCGTGTCGACCAGCGGCGACCCCGCCGCTGGCGTTCAACGTGGAACGCCGCCAGCGACCCAGAATCGCGACGTTGAACGATCTGATGTTTCGGAAGCGGCCGATCGTTTAATCGGCTGCCAGCCCAGGGGGCAAGTGAGAAGGGGCGGGCCTTCTCAGAAGGATCGGAAGCCCCTTGGCCTTCTGAGAAGTTTCTTAAACCTTCCTCGAAGACGCCGAAAGCCTCTCAGAAGGCCGGATGCGTTCTGAGAAGCCTCGCCGGCCGCCTTCGGATAAGGCTTTCTCCTTCTCACTTCCGCCCCTGGCTCGCCGCCGATTCAAGGTTGCGCGTTCAAGGTTCAACGATCGGCCGATCGTTCAAGGCTGACCGATGGACCGAAGAACGACCCAGAAGCGGCCGATCGTTCACGGTTGAACGATCCCCGCTGTGTCAGGAACCAGCGGCGGGATAGCACCCCGCACCCGCGGATAGAAGCGAGGGGGCGGCGGCGGGGGCTGTCCACGAGTTGCCCCCCATGTGCTGCCCCCCTGCCCCAAGGATCGTCCCCACGAGCTGGCCCCAAGTACCGCCCCCAAGTGTCGTTCTCAAGTACCGTCTCCATGGACTGCCTCCAAGTATCGCCTCACGCTTTGCCCCCAAGTATCGCCCCGATGGCTTGCCCCCAGGCACCGCCCCCATGTATTGCACCCGAGCATCGCCCCATGTATTGGCTCAAAGTATCTCCCCCAAGTATTGTTCCCAAGTATCGTCCCCACGTCTTGCCCCCAAGTATCGCAGAGATGTAAAGTCTTCAACTATCGCCCTCCATCCACGTATCGCCTCGAAGTATCACCCCCATGTGTAGCCCAGGTTGGCCCTGGACGTCGACCTGGTCGCGTTCATCCTCACGCAGCACTTGAGGATGGTGTTTACGATGCGCCGTCGACGGCAACACCACACCGCTCACCCTCTGGGACTTCGCCTCCGGCTCCTGTCCAAGGCGTTCCTTTTCCTGTGCAAGTTCCTCGTCACCGCCTGCACCCCGGCCCGCCCTCCGGCCGCCTGAGGCCCCACCCGCCTGTGCTGCGTCTCCCCATTTAGAGCTTTGCGTGGCCCGCCTAGCTTTTAACCGGAACGGGCTCGCTCTCGACCCGCAGGCCAACAAATGTGTAGCCCAGGTTGGAAGATCATTTTGTCCCCCTGCGTTTTTAAGGAAAACCTGCATGGGCCGCGGTGGGCCCCCTGCCGTTTTTTGTTGGACAGAAACCGAATGCTCGAAAACGTGGCGTCGGCAACGTCAGCGGCAGTCACAACGGCGACGACGATGATCGCTACAATTTTTCGCAATCGGTTCGGGGCGCTGCGGCATGGCGTTCGCGCGGGGATCCTTCTTCCCCGGCATAGTCAAACTCCGCTTCAGCAAACAACTAATGACTTGAGTGCAATTGCGCCAGTGGGTAGCAAGCGCCGTGCCCTGGACATGGCATCACACCTGGAACGCGGCCACCAGCGTCGCGGAAGTCACCTCCTCAATGACTTTGATGATGGTGCGGAATCTGTGAGTGGCAAGGAGCCTCGACCTCTGCTTCCTATTGTTGTATTTGCTCGTATCTGCCCACGCTGTCGAGTAGGATCGCGCACCCCCTGCCAGCGGCGGCAACCACATCGGGGAGGCCGCTCGAGGGAGACGCGTGGCGCCCATCAAGTGAGCGCCCCACTCGTCGTAGCCCCTTTTCCGGCGAGGACGGCGCAGGAGCAACGGGGAAGATGCCCGCGCCCGGGACAGTCGGCACGATATGCACGTCTTTGCTTTGCAAGAGGCGGTTCAAGTAGTTCATCGACCACGTGACGCCTTCCTCGGACTACTCGGTGTGGACGGGTTTGGTCGGGTGTTTTTTTACTTGCCGAGCGCCTCGTTGCATTTCCGGTTGAAGAGGTCTGGCTTGTTCGGGTTGGTAAAGGTCCACCAGGGCACGCGGCCCCCCTTCCCGCTTGCATGGCGGAACTACGCCCGCTTGTTCGTGACCAGCGCGAAGTGCGCCCGCGCCGCGACGGTCAGCAAGTCCCCGTTCTCTTTCACTTGACGAAAGGATGGCCTTAGCAGCCGCGGGACATCGTCGCTGCTCACGTTTATCGGCGCGCCCTCCTTCCACGGGGAGACGAGCTCGGCCTCGAACCTCTTGTCGTGCGCACTGTTGCAGACCAGGCGGGGGGACACAGCGTCAAACTCGGACGACCCCCACCGAGCCCGGATCGCAGCGTCTTCCTCGCTCGGGTTCAGGAAAGCCATGAGGAGAGACGTCGATTGCCCCAACAATTTGCTATCGTCGAAGATGGCGGGCCGAATCGGGTTGCTGGCTCAGCCTTGGCGAAGTCGAACTGCGTTGCTGTCGCTACCGCCGGGGCGAGCTCGCCCGCCTCGGCCTCTCCAGATTGCCCCATCGCCTCAATCAATCCCCACGCGGCTCATCATGAACGCCAAGGTCTTCGATCCAGCGCTCTTCCCGACGCGCGTTTTGCCACTCCACGCCGCGCCGAAGGCCCTCAAGGCTGAAGACAGGATGGGCTTGATCACGTTGTTGAGGAAATAAGGGTCTAAGCCGAGAAGCGTCGGGGCCCAGACCGCGAGGCCGGTGGCATTTGCCTTGCCCTTCGCGAAATTGTCCAGGGCCTTCTCGACGCGGCCTTCTTCCCATCCAAAGATAGAAGACTCTGGCTGAGAGCTCTCCCGAGCCGCGAACTCAACGAGTTGCTTCGCGTCGCTGGTGCGCGGTCCCGTCTCACGCGTCAACTTGCACCCCGCGACCTGGAGCTCCCACTCGGCCGTCGTCCTGGAAGGCCCCTTGCCAGGCTTCGCGACCACGGTGCCGCGGCGCAGCTGGTAGCCTTCAGCTTCTCCAGCATGCGCTGCATGGCCAGGCGCCCAATCCTTAACTGGTTGCCGCGGCGCCAAATCAGGCCAGCGCCGCGACGCATCTGAAGGCACGAATACATCCGCGCGGGCACCCCGTGGAGGTTCACGTCTTTCAAGATGTCGCGCTTGCCGTCGGCCTTCTTGACGACGAACACCTGCGTGGGGCATTGGCCAGGCGGCTCCTTCTTCAGGGAAAAGGGCTCGGGCATGCCTTTGAAGCCGCACGTGTTTCGCGAAGTCGCGGAGGGTCTCCCAAGGTACGTCGCCCTCGTAGTCGCCCAGGTAGTCTGCGAAGTACTGGGCCATCTTGCCGCACTCCGTCGCAAACTGCGCTGGTAGATCGGCGATTTGGTGCTGTCCTGCCGCCTCCAAATTGTTAATGTTGATGCGCGGGTGACCGTTCACCTTCATGTTCTCCACGTGCTGCAGCGCCTCGCCGAACGCGATGCTGGGCGCGCAGTCGGCATGGCCGAGGGAGGTCCCCAATCTTTCCGGCAGCACCACCGCAGGGTTGATGGCGGTCACGTCGCTGCAGAAGCGGGCGGGGGTACGCCGCCTCGACCAAAAAACCTTGAGACTCAGATTGCTGTGGCTATGAAACCCTCCTCCAACAAATGGGGGGGGCATCTTTTTTTTGTGGACGCCGTCCAGGAGTAGCAATGCCGTGCCCGTGATGCTGCACTACGGTACGCCATGTAATCACAATTTGCGCGCTGCCATGTCCAACGACATCAGTTCTTGACTAATCGCGCGCAGGCGAGCGGCCGTGTTTTCGGGGGCGGACGTGGGTTCCCCATTTCCCATGTTCAGAATATGTCTCGGGCGCCCTTTCTCCACGCGCGCAGGCGTGCAATGGGGGATCAGTGCCTGGATTGCACCTGGGGCCGCTTTTGTAAAGTATTCATAACAACGGAGCTTGCAGCAAAACGTTGCGGCTATCAAATCTCATCTGCGTGTCGATATCGGCGCATCTCGTCCGGCGATGCATCCCCTGCCTCATCTGAGCGGGGCGGAGCTGTTCCACATGTGGCCAGCAAGGGCACCCCATTTGTGGATGCCCTCTTCTACCGCATCAAATCCAGGAACAGGAACCCCAAGGAAAACACATGCATAGCTTCCTGCTTATACATTCCACAGTTCCCATATGTTTTCCGCGCGGAAGATAAGGAGACAAAGGGAGGACAGGGAGGATAGGGTCCATGGCCGAGGGGGGCATCCAGTTTTGCATGCCCCTTCCTGCCGCCGTCGTCGCCGCCGTCGTCCTCCTCCTCCTCCTCCTCCTTCTGCTTTTCCTCGTTCTCCCACCCCCCCTTCCTCGTCCTCTTCCTCTTGCTCTTTCTCCTCCTCCTCCTCCTCCTCCTCCTTCTCCTCGTCCTCTTCCTCATCACAAGAAA